AAGATATAAACAATGACTTGCAAAACAATAATGACAAATTCTTTACGAAAAAACAATATCCTATGGCGACAAGTGGAATAACCACAGTTATTATAATAATATTAATAATTTATATAATTATAAAAAATAAAAAAAAATATAAGAAACGACCGTCAGTCAGGATATACGAAGAAGACAACGAACCACGTATGCCATACGGATTCCCTAGACTCATACTAAAACGTAGTTTAAGCACATGATTTTAGAATAAGAAACGATTATATTCATATTATGGGATCTGACCCCGCGGCTCGAAAAATGTTACCGGCAGAGAGCAAAGAGAGAGGGCGTATAGAGGAGCGACAGGAGCGCTCAGTAAGTGAGTGAACGTACGACCGAGATCACGTTCATAAAAAAAAGAGATACACTTATTTAAACTTTGTATTTTTATTCAATAATAAACAATTCCTACAAAATTGGGGGTTCGTCCCGGGATATACGAGACATACAGGAAGTGTCAAGAAGAAGGGATGGTAGTACGCGTGAAAAATATACGCACAATAAGACGACGAAAGACGACGGAAAATTCCGGAAGACGTAAGAAGAAAGACGATTGCGTGAGCACGACATTGACAAGAAAACATACCCAGTCGAAGGTATTATCGAAGACGTAGCAATGGAGAGGCTCGAGCAAATTAAAACGGTGGCCAATAACCTCAAAACGAGCTCAACAAAGGCCATCAAAGCGTTACATAAATTCATTTTCGAGCAAGAAGGTGATAGAGGCAACAGGAAGCGGTTGCGTGAATTCAAGGGCTTCCCATTCGCCAGTGATTCAGATGAGTATCGATCAAAAATAGCATTCGTGGAAGGTAATCTTAGTTGGGGAGATTTAATCTCTGTATGCAATATTTTAGCTATAGATTACTCTGGGACAAAGAAAGAATTGAATCAGCGCATATGTAGCTGCTTAGTAGATCTCAATTCACTTAACGATGCTATTAGGCCGGATGGAGAAGAAAGTGATAAGGACGATGACGAGCAGGACGAAGAACAAAGCGACGATGAGGATGCAAAACGACAAAGAAAACGCATAGGAAGCAATAAAGAAGTAAGACAGACAAGAGAAGAAATAGAAGACGAAGAAGAGGAGGACAATGAGACTGAAGACGAAGACGAAAATAAAGATAAAAAAAAAGACGAGCGATCGGTAATAGTGGAAGCTAGAAAGGTAAGCACAAAGTTTACAATGACCTTCAGAGATGTCGAAGATTCGATACGGCATTTCAATGGAGACGAGAAATATCCGGTGGAACGTTGGATAATGGATATCGAGGAATCCGCTGAATTATTCGGATGGACTGATATTCAGAGGTTAATATTTGCCAAAAAATCGTTGACAGGCTTAGCGAAACTGTTTATTCAGGGAGAAAGAGGCATAACGTCATGGAATAAATTAGGGCAAGCGCTTAAAGATGAATTTAGTCATAAAATGAATAGTGCCGAATTAAACAAGCTGTTGAGTAAAAGATGAATTAAAAAAGATGAATCGGTGCAAGCTTATTTTCTAGTCATAAAGGAGATAGCTAATAGAGGTGAAATTGAAGACGAGGCACCTTACTATTACGTTATCGATGGCATAGATGACGGCGATATTGCAAATAAAAGTATTATGTACGGAGCAAAGAACACAAAGGACTTTAAAGAGAAATTAAAGATATACGAAAGAATGAAAACAAAGATCTCAAGTTCCAGTAAACCTCTGAGTACGGCTGTAAATAAGAAGGCGAAACCAAAAGATGATGTTCGTTGCTACAACTGCGGAGCCAGGGGCCACAGGTCAACTGAGTGTGAGTCCAAAAGCAAAAGCGTAAAGTGCTTCAATTGCAACGAGTTTGGACACAAGGCTCCCGAATGTAAAAAAGAAAAAATAAAGAAGAAGAAAGAAGAAGAAGCACCGACAAGAACCGAGCCTGTGAATAGCCTGGGTACCCCAAGAAGTATGTACAAGACGATCAAGATACGGAACAAGCAGTTGAATGCTTTGATTGACACTGGCAGTCAATTTAACATTATTAACGATAATTCGTACAAAACAGTCGGATCACCTCCATTGTCCAGAACTACATTGCGTTTTTCAGGATTTGGAAGAAATGAAGTAGAGCCTATGGGATACCTTGAGGAAGAAATCTTAATTGATAATGAATCTTTTCAAGTAAGTATATATGTAGTATCAAATGACGTCATGACTATGGAAGCTGTAATAGGAAACGAGTTGCTAACGCAAGCCGAGCTCATGATTAAGCAAAACGGCATCATCATTAAGAAGATACACAAATCAGACTTAATGCACTTACCCAGCTATATCATAGAAGAAAGTCTTCCAGACACCGCGCATATTGCTCGCAAAGAAGTAAGGAAAGAGGTGGAGCGCCTACTTGGAGATTATCGACCCGAGAAAACGAAGGACGCCAGTGTTGAAATGGCGATTAATGTCAAAGACAACCGGAAGATTTTTGCGAGACCGAGGCGTTTACCGGTGCCGGAAAGAAAGATCGTAGAAGAAAAAGTGGAGCAATGGATTAAAGAAGGAATCGTAGAGCCATGCTCATCTGAGTACCCCAGTCCAGTGGTGATAGTACGAAAGCGAGACGGGACGCCAAGAGTATGTATGGACTTCCGAGCGATAAATGAGATAGTGGATAAAGATCGGCATCCGCTTCCCTTAATCGAAGATATACTGGATAGATTGCAAAAGGCACGCGTGTTCAGTACCATTGACCTCAGGAACGGATACTTCCATGTACGTGTGAAGAAAGATGCCCGGAAATACACATCATTCGTGACGCATAATGGTCAGTACGAATTCTTGAGAGTACCATTTGGCTTTTGCAACTCAGCGGCGGTGTTTTAGCGATACATAAACGTAATTTTCGAAGATCTGATAGTAAAAGAAATAGTTTTGTCACTCGTCGATGACTTCATAATCCTAGGAAAAGATGAAAAAGACGCTCTCGACAACCTGCAGATCGTGCTGGAACGAGCAAAGGAATATGTTCAATATTTTTAATTAATTTTAAATTAATTAAATTAAAATCTTTAGATATACATACATTTATAATTTATAATTGCTAATAAATGTTGTAGAAACTGAAAGGAAATTTAAAAGATGGGGTATCTTTTAGTTTCGATAAATTTAAACACATAAAGTATGGTGAAATAGGATTGATAGATATATATATTCCTGGAGATGATAACGCGCCAGAAAGTCTAAGCGTCAAAGGGGTGTCTGAGGAGCACCTGAAAGGTGCCGAAAAGGCGTCTGAAAGACTAAGTCCAAGGGACGCTAAGTTCGAAAGACGC